GGCCAGGAGCCAGTGCGGAGGCGGGGCCAGGAGCAAGTGCAGGGGCGGGACCAGGAGCAAGGGCGGGGGCGAGGCCAGGAGCAAGAGTAAGAGCAAGGGTGGGGCCAGAAGTCTGAGTAGAGGTGGGGCCAGGAGCAGGGGCTGGGCGAAGCGCAGGAACTTGGTAGGATCTCGGAAGGTGGCTCTCGGGCGCAGTCTGGCTGGCAGGTGTTGACCCCCCTCTCCAGGTTCGAGTCACGTTGCACGCTGCCCCCAGCGATGTACCCTGCTGGCCCTGCGTGGCCGAAACTCCGAGTCCTGCGGGCGCTGTGGGCACTACTGGCGGTGCTATTGGCATCGTGGAGGCTGTGGGCGATCCAGGATGTCCAGGAGTGCACCTGGCAGGTTGTCCTGAACAAGTTTGAGACGGTAGGCAAGAATGGCATGAGCGACCGCTTCTTCGATCAAGAGCCCCTGGAGACAGTGGACAATGTGTTCAGCCCGCTGGTGGATGTACCCACCGACCAGGGCGAGGTGAGGGGACTGGGGTCAGGTGAATGGGAGAGGTCATAGATCTGCACCCTACTGGGCTCTGGACGTTTGCCCAACCTTTTCTTGCAGAAATACCTGAGCTTCCCATACTACCTGAAGATCAACTACTCCTGCAATGGAGAGGTAAGTGAGTGCAGCGGGGGTGAGCTCATTCTGTGTGGCCCTCAAGCTTCCCCAATCTCTAACATTTTAATAGTGGTGGCACCACCAGACCTTGGGGACCCTAAGGATTCAAGAGGATTCCCAGTATCCCACCAGGCACATAGTAGGTACTCAAGTAAGCTTTTTTTTGCCATTAAAAAAATCGAGATGGGGTGCCTGGGTGGCGCAGTAGATTGAGCGTCTGACTCTTGGTTTTGACTTGGTACTGAGACCCGCCTCTGCTCCACTCTCAGGGCGGAGTCGGATTGGGGCTCTCTCTCCCTCTCACCCTCTTCCTCCCCTTCCCCCCTCTCTCTTTCTCTCCAAAATAAATAGATAAATCTTTTTAAAAGATTGAGATGTAACTCATATATCATAAAATTCTCCATTTAAAGTGTACAGTTTAATAGTTTTTAGTATATTAACAAAGTTGTGCAACCATTACCACTAATTACAGACCACATTCATCACCCTATAAAGAAACCCAGTACCCCCATCCTTCAGCCTCTGGAGACTACTGATCTACTTTCTGTTTCTATGAATTTACTTATTCTGGACATTTCATATAAATGGAGTTGTCCAAGAGGTAACGCCTTTTGTGCCTGGCTTCTTTCACTCAACACATTTTCAAGGTTTGCCTATGCTGTAGCATGTATCAGCGTTTCCCTTTCATTTATTTATTTATTTATTAAGATTTTATTTATTTGACAGGGAGAGCAAGAGAGCAAGAGCAGGAACACAAGCAGGGGGAGTGGGAGAGGGAGAAGCAGGCCTCCTGCGGAGCAGGGAGCCCGATGCGGGACTTGATCCCAGGACCCTGGGATCATGACCTGAGCAAAAGGCAGATGCTTAACAACTGAGCCACCCAGGCTCCCCGAGTGTTTCCCTTTTAATGACTGAATAATATTTAATTGTAAGGATGTGCTACATTTCATTTATCCATTCATTAATTGATGGACATTTGGGTTATTTCCATTTTGTGGGGGTGGCTATATGAACAATGCTGTTATAAATGTGTGTACAAGTTTTTCTGTGGACATATGTTTTCAGTTCTCTTAGGTAAATGCCTACAAATGGAATTGCTGGGTCTTAATGTTAACTCTGTTTCACTTCCGAGGAACTGCCTGATTGCTCTCCAAAGCAGTTGGATCATTTTCCATTCCCATCAGCAATGTATGAGGGACAGTACCAGTTTCTCTGTATCTTCACCAACACTTGTTCATCTTTTGGTTATAGCCAAAAGATGTGGGTGTGAGGTGGTATCTCATTGTGGTTTTGAGTTACATTTCCCTCATGACTCCTGAGGTTGAACATATGCTCACTCTTAACTTATCTATCTTCTTTGGAGAAATATCTATCCAAATCCTTTGCCAAATTGGGTTGTCTTTCTATTGTTGCATTGTAAAATTTCCTTATATATTCTGGATACTAGTTGCTTATCAGATGTATGATTTGTAAATATTTTGTCACATTCTATGGGTTGTCTTTTCATTTTCTTGATGGTGTCCTTTAAAGCACAAAGGTTTTATGTTTATTGAAGTGTAATTCACAGACCATGAAATAGCACCAATGTTTTTAACCTTGATGAAGTCCAATTTATCAGTTTTTTTCTTTTGTTGCTTCTCCTTTTGGTGTTGTCTAAGAAGGCTGTGCCTGGATCATGAAGATTGACTTCCATGTTTTCTTCGAAGAGTTTTTTAGTTTTAGCTCTTAGGTTTAGGTCTTTGATCCATTTTGAGTTATTTTTTGTGTGTGTGGTGTGAGGTAGGGGTCCAACTTTGCATGTGAATATCCTGTTATCCCATTACCATGTGTATAAATGAATTGTCTTGGCACTCTTGTCAGGAATCAATTGACCAGGCCTCCTGGGTAGCTCAGTCGGTTAATCATCTGCCTTTGGCTCAGGTCATGATCTTCAGGTCCTGGGATCGAGCCCACATCAGGCTTCCTGCTCAGCAGGGAGTCGCTTCTCTCTCTTTCCCTCTGCCCCTCCTTACTGCTCATTCTCTCTCTCTCAAATAAATAAATAAATAAATAAAATCTTAAAAACAACAACAACAACAACAACAGAAATCAATTGACCGTAACTGTAAAGGTTTATTTCTGGGTATAATTCCATTCCATTGCTCTATATGTCTGCCCATATGCCAGTATCACATAGTCTTGATTCCCGTGGATTTGTAGTAAGTTTTCAAGTCAGGAAGTTTGAGTCCTCCAACTTTGTTGTTCTTTTCCAAGATTGTTTTGGCTCAAGTAAGCTTTTGAGAACAGTAGAATGTTGTAGTCTAGAACTGAAGTTCTGGAGGCAGCAGACCTGGGTTTGAATCTGCCACTGACTAACATTTACTTGGAGGAAGTGTGGCATGATAGTTGATAGTTTGGGCTCTGAAGCTAGTCTGCCTGGGTTCAAATCCCAGCTCTGCTACATAATAACTGTGTGATCTCTGGAAAATTACTTAACGTCTCTGTATCAAAGTTTCCTCATCCTTATCAAGGTTTCAATAGTGATCATACCTGCTTCACAAAATTATTAAATATGTGTGAAGCACTTAGCAAGTGTCTGGTTCATAGAAAGAGCTCGAGTGAACGCTAACAACAAGTTTGTAGAGTATGACCCTGAGCAGACAGTTTTACCCCATGAACCTTCTCTCCTCATCTGTAAAAGTGTGATAATAATACCTTTATCTGGCCATTCAACACCTACAATGAGTCAGATCTCCCCCTCCCTTTTTTTTTTTTTTTTACAACATGGGGGTTATAATGATTAACAGTATGGCTTTGGCTCAGATCATGATCTTCTGGTCCTGGGATGGAGCCCCACATCAGGCTTCCTGCTCAGCAGGGCAGGTTTTTCTTATGGATTCAGGCCACCAGGGAAGCAATCAGCAAGTAAATACATAAAATACATAAAATAATTTCTGAAGACTAATCAGTGCAAAGAAGAAAATAAAATATTTTATATATTAGAAAAGAAGGTGTTACGGGATGGTTGGGGAAGGTCTCTGAAGATGCTTGAGCAGAGACCTGAGTGATGAAAAGGGACGACTGAGGAGACTGGGGGAAAGCACCCCAGGCCACAGGAGAGGCTAGCACAAAGAGCGCAATGGTCCTGAAGTAGGACAGAGGCTGCTGTGTGTGAGGAGCCATGAGTGAGGGCACAGTGGGAGGAGACAGGGCAGGGAAGTGACCCCAGGCAGAGCGAGGACTTGGCCCCTGCTCTGAGTGAGATGGAACCATGAGAAGGTTCTCAGCAAAGGAGCACCTAATCTGATTCAGGTGTTCCCAGGCTCCTTCCTGCTGGGGGGAGGGCGGGGGGGGCAGGGAGACAGTGAGGAGGCTGTCCTAGACCGGTGGTCTAGGCAGGAGTTGAGGGTGGACAGGACCAGGGCCACTTTTGCACCAACAGGAGAGCCCCACCTCACTGACACCTGCAGCTGTGTGGTTGAAAAACCCAAGGGGCTCCTGGGTGGCTCAGTCTGTTAAGCATCTGACTCTTGATCTCAGCTCAGGTCTTGATCTCAGGGTTGTGAGTTCAAGCCCCCTCTTGGACTCCATGCTGGGCATGGGGCCTACTTAAAAAAAAAAAGAAAAACCCAGAAGTAGGGCTGGGACAGGTGCTGTTGGCAGGGTTGAAAGAGCCCTGGCTGAGCCGATGAAGGCCTGTGCAAAGGTGGTTGGGCCCATTATTTTTTTTAAAGATTTTATTTATTAATTTGAGACATACACAGGTGTGCGCACGCACACACGTGCCAGTGGGGGGAGGGGCAGAGAGAGAGGGAGATTCCCCACGGAGCAGGGAGCCTGATGTGGAGCTCCATCTCAGGACCCTGACTACGGGATCATGACCTGAGCTGAAGGCAGATGCTCAACCGACTGAGCCACCCAGGTGCCCCTGGTTGAACCCATTCAATCTCTCTCCCTCGTCTCACAGCCTACCCCCCACCCAAGAGGGCTGCTTGAGTGCAGCCTTCTCTTGGAGATGCCTCTAAGCCTTTGCTTATGCTGTTCCATACACCTGGTACACCCTTCTCCTTCCTTTCTTCTCAACTGTAAGCCCTGCCTCTCTTTCTCCACCCAGCCAGGACTCTGGAATTTCTGGGAGGCTGTCCCTGGCTATCTCCTCGTGCTCCTTACCTGTTCCTTTCTGTGTAACTGCCCTATCCCACCCTCACCCACAGGCTCCAGCTCCAAAACCTGGCTATCCTCTGACCGGGGGGGTGGGGGGGTGGGAGGGGAAGGGTGGCAGAAAGTCAAATTTCTGCAGGGAGGGTAGAAGCCTCAAGAGTGGGACTGGGAACCCCTGAAGTGAGGGAAGAGGCTACTAGTAGCTCTGGGTGCCAGGTTCATTCCCACTTGCCCATGTTTGCTTATCCCGTGCTGCTATTCCCTGTGCATTCCCTCCATCCCAATTCTGTCTGAAGGCCGTGGCTCTGGCCTTACCTCCTCCTGTGACTCCCTTCACAGCACCTAGCCCCTCTGCCTATCTCCTAGCCTGACCTGTCCCCACCCCAACCCCAAACCTAGACCCTGTTCTCTGACCTTCCCGTGGTGGAGAGTCTGTTCTCCCACCTAGTCTAAGAAGATGGGCTCAAGGCAGGGGTACCCAGAGCCTCTCTTAAGTACACACCTGTGGGGCCATCTTGCCCTCAGTCCTCCGAGGCCCAGGTCCGCAAGGGCCACCTGACGGGGCTGAAGCCCGTGGTGCTGGTGACCTTCCAGTCCCCAGTCAACTTCCATCAGTGGAAGATAGAGCAGCTGCAGATCCAGATGGAGGCAGCCCCCTTCCGCAGCAAAGGTGGGCTTGGGGGGCACCTGGAGGGGCCATAGCCTGGCAAGGTTTGTGGGGAGCTTGCTGGGGGCCTTAGCAGAGTCCATGACCTTGAGGGGGAGGCTGACATCCTCAGAGGAGCCCGTGGCCTGGCGGGGTTGTGGGAGTTTTGGGGGTGCCACAGTGGGGTCTGTGACCTGGAAGGGGGCGCAGGGAGGCCTCAGCAGGGTCCGTGGCCTAGATAGGGCCACACAAAGGCCCTAGTGGGGTCCATGGCCTAGAGGGGGCCTGGGGAGGTGCAGGGAGATCCCAGGGGACTGTGGCCTGGAAGGCACCCTTGGGAGGCCCCAGTAACCTCAGTGCCCACTGTCTACCAGCAGAGCAGTGCACCGCAGAGGAGGTGTGTGTCATGAGCTGGTACACGCCCATGCCCATCAAGAATGGCAGCGTGGTCATGCGTGTGGATGTCAGCAGCAATGGCCTGGGGCCCTTCATTCCCAATAAAAGGTGCCCTTTCCCAAGCCTGGGGCAGGGGGTAGACTCTGGGAGGGACTTCCTAATCTCCAGATCCCCCAAGAAGCCAGGAGGAGACCAAAGGGAGGGAAGAGGGTAAGGAGGTGATTGTGAGCTATGGTAGGAGCCCCCGACACTGGAACCCTCGCCTGTGCTTGTCCACACCTCCTCCCAGATTTCAGGTGAACATCAACGGCTTCTTGCAGAGACAGCAAGACAACACACTCCATTTCACTGTGGGAAATGAGGTGAGGGGCCCAGACAGGAGAGAAACATGGTAGAAAATGTGGGTTAAAGACAGTGGGTTGGGGCCCCAATGACTTCCCAGATAAGTGGCAGACCCCACTTCCAGAGTGCTCCCCTTGCACCAGGCCCCAGGTGAAGCACTCCACTAAATGTGCAACCACGTTCAGTCCTCACAATGACCCTGTGAGGGAAGACACTCACACAAACCCATTTTCAGGAGGAGAATACTGAGGCCCCCAAGGGATGGAGCCATTTGCCCCCAGTCTCCCAGCATGCAGCTATGGAACGAGACTTGAAACAATGTCAGCCTGACTCCTGCACCCATAGTCTCCTTCGTCACGGTGCATGCATGCATTCAGCAGGCACTTAACTGAGCACACAGTGTGGCCATGAGGTGGCACCATGGGGGGGCAGGGGGAGTGTTGAGCAGCCCTCCTTCCATCCCCACTTGCCCCCTCCCCCCCCCACCAGATCTTCAATCTGATACCCCGGTACTTCATGAATGTCCCATCGAGGGCCCTGTGGCACACTGTGGACCAGGCACCTGTGCTCATCCTGGGTGGCATTCCTGATGAGAAGTCCGTCCTGCTGACAGACACCAGCTTCACCGACTTCTTTCTTGTGGAGGTGAGTGGTGCAGGGCAGGTGGTGGGTGGGCTGGGGTTTCTTGAAGGGTGCTGGGCCTCAGCCTCTAAAATAAGGTGGGGTCTGGGGCTGTGGAAAGAGTCCCTAAAGACATAGCAGCCCCCATGAGGGGCAGCCAGCAGGAAGGGAAGATGTTAAGACTGCAGCCAGACGCTCTGGCTTCAGATCCAGGTTCAGCCACTCCTGGCTGTGTGACCCTGGGCCAAGTCATTTCACCTACCCGGGCCTCAGATTCCCCATTTGTCCCATCTGGAAAATGCAAATAATCTTTATATTCACCTCATAGAATCATCGTGAGTTTGGTATAAGTTAACATCAGCCAGACACAGAATGAGTACTCGACAAAAACAAAACCACAATGCCGTTGTGATACCCAGCAAAAGTAGCTAGAACCCTTTCATATCATCTAACAGGGCCAGAGTCAGTATTCCCCAATTATCTAAAAATGTCTTAAATCTTTTTTTTTTTTTATTTGGGGGCGCCTGGGTGGCTCAGTCGGTTAAGCATCTGCCATCAGCTCAGGTCATGATCTCAGGGTCCTGGGATCGAGCCCCACATCCAGCTACTTGCTCAGCAGGGAGCCTGCTTCTCCCTCTTCCCTGCTTGTTCTCTCTCTCTTGCTCACTCTCTCTCTCTTTCAAATACATAAATGAAATCTTTTAAATTTTTTTTAAAAATTAAAAGAAATTTTTTATTTGAATATAGTTGACACAATGTTACATTAGTATCAATTGTACAACATAGTGATTCAGCAAGTTTATACATTGTGTAGCTACCATCTGTCCCCATACAGCACTATTACAGTACCAGTGACTGTGTTCCCTGTGCTGTACCTTTTACTCCTGTGACTCATTCATTCCCTCACTGGAAGCCTGTATCTCCCACTCCCCTTCGCCCATTTTGCTCATCCTCCTACTCCTGCCCTCTGGCAACCATCAGTTTGTTCTCTGTATTTATGGGTCTGATTTTGCTTTCTGTCTGTTTGTTTGTTTATTCATTTGTTTTTTTTTTTTTTTAGATTCCACATATAAGTGAAATCATATGGTATTTGTCTTCTCTGTCCAAACTTATTTCACTTAAAATAACACCCTGTAGGTCCATCCATATTGTCACAAATGGCAAGATCTCATATTTTATGGCTGAGTAATATTCCATTGCATATATACACCAATCTTCCTTATCCATTCATCAGTCGATGGACACTCGGGTTGCTTCTATATCTTGGCTATTATGAATAATGCTCAGTAAACATAAGGGTGCGTATATCTTTTCAAATTAGTGTTTTCCTATTCTTTGGGGAAATACCTGATAGTGAAATTATACTGGATCATATGGTAATTCTACTTTTAATTTTTTGAGGAACCTCCATACTGTTTTCCACACTGAACAGAGATTGATGTGTGCATTACCACCAACAGTGCATGAGGGATCCTCTTTTTTTTTTTTTAAGATTTTATTTTTAAGTAATCTCTACACCCAACATGGGGCTCGAACTCACAACCCCAATATCAAGAGTTGCTTGCTCTACTGACTGAGTGAGCCGGGCACCCCAGAGGGTTCTTTTTTCTCCACATCCTCCCCAACACTTGTTGTTTCTTGTGTTGTTGATTTTAGCCATTCTGACAGTTGTGAGGTGATATCTTCCTGTGGTTTTGATTTGCATTTTCCTGATGATGAGTGATGTTGAGCATCTTCTCATGTGTCTGTTGGCCATTGTATGTCTTCTAAAAATGTCTTTTAAAGTTGGTTTGAATCAGGATCAACACATTGCGTTTAGTTAGGTCTCTTAATACTCTTCTCACCTGTAAGTCTACTCCCCACTCCACCTCCTTCCCCTCATCTACCACCTTTTCTCAGGCAATTGGAGAAACCAGGCCTTTTGTCCTATAGAATTTAGCTGCTTGCTTCTTCATGGAATTGGTTAACTTGTTCCTCTGACCCTATGTAGTAGTCTGCTTAGGCTGCCATAACAAAATACCACAGACTGTGTGTCTGAAACAAACATTTATCATCTCACAGTTCTGAGGCTGGAAGTCCGAGATCAAGTTGTCAGGAGGGTGGTTTCTGGGGAGGCCTCTCCTCAGCCTGCAAGTGTCTTCTCAGTTTGTGCCTTTTCTGTGCTCACCTGTGGAGAGAGACAGATCTCTGGTGTCTCTTCCTCTTCTCATAAGGACACCAGTCCAATAGGATTAGGGACCCATCTTTATGACCTCAGTGGACCTTAAATTTCTCCTTAATGGCAGGGTTAGGGATTCAACATATAAATTGGGGGTAGGGGACACAATTTGGTACATAACACCCCATAGAATTATTGCCTATAAACTGGTACTGAGCTCTAGAACCTTGATTAAATTTAGATTCCTTTAGTCAAGAATCCTCCATTGATGGTGCTTCCCCACTGTTAGTCTATGATATCGCCAGTGTTAGTGATTGGTCAGTGAGTTCAGAGCGTGTCAGCCTGACAGCCAGTTGTGTCCAAGGTAAAATAGGGTGGTTGGGCCAAACATGAGACCTTTGGGATCTGACTCTGGCCTGGGGAACAGAGATTGATGTGTGCTGTTGAGTATGCTGTGCACTGCCAAACTCTAGGGAGCACACAAAGTCCCAACTGCCTCTGGCTTGGGTCGCCTGCCTCCCTGACCCATGTTGGGGAAGTGTGGCCACAAGGTACTACTTCATGGTGAGCAGGGAAGGTGCCCTGGGGGCAGCTGCCTGTGTCCATCCCAAGCAGTTGTCAGAGCAGGTGTCCCCCTTCCCAAGGCAGTATGTGGGGGCTGAAGCCAAGGTGAACCTGCTCACCACTGACTCTGCTCTCCTGCAGTTGAACATTGACAGTTGCTGGGTAGGCTCCTTCTACTGCCCTCAGGCCAGTTTTACTGCCACCATCTATGATGCCATTGCCACCGAGAGCACTCTCTTCATTCGGCAGAACCAGCTTGTCTACTATTTTACGGGCACCTATCTCACCCTCCACGAGAGCAACCGCGGCAGTGGTGAGGGGTCCCTGGCATCTCAGGGAAGCGTTCCTGCCTGTGGGAGCCCCAGGGAGGGCACCCCAGTGAACCCATCCACTGGAAGCGCCCGGGATTGGAATTTCCATGGGTGGGGAGGGGTGTGTTAGAGGGACTTTCTGAGGTCCTTGATCATCCCCACCCACCCTAAATGGCCTTCTCCTACCCTCTATATGCTGGGGTAAGGCTTTCCTCCGGACCTATGAACCAGCAGAGGGGAGAGGGAGGCGTGAGAGGGAAGGGAGAGAGAGAGAGAGAGAGAGAGAGGGGCAGGCGTGCGCGCACACGTGCACACACACACACACACAGTCAGAAAGACAGAGGAAGACAGGCTAAGAGACATGCATAGCAAAGGAGCAGTTTGGGGGGTGGGAGAGAGGTATGGAGAGTCAGAGAGAAAGGCAGACAGAGAAAGTGGGATGAGCAGTTGGAGAGGAAAAGCCACGAAGGTGACTGATCACAGAGGAAAAAGAGACTTTTGATTTAATCTTATCTTTTAAATGATACCCAAACCCTCCTGGTCCTTAGCTCCCCCGCCCATAAATGAGAGATTTCATTTTATAGGGTCACAGAAACTTGTATTATAACCTATATTTCATTAAGGCTTATTCCCAAGAGCTTCATTTTCGTCCCTTTCTTACGTAGAACATTTCACAGTAGGAGGAACCAAATTAAAATGGACTTAAGTCAAAGAAAGGGTTTAGATAGATGAAAAACCCAGGAGCAGTTGGTTTCAGGTACAGTTGGATCTAGGTGCTCACTGAAGCTTAGGCCTCTCCTCGTGGCAGCCATGGTGATTCCCCCCTCCATCTAGCATCTGTGGACTTTTATCCTCTCAGGGGCCCCAGGGAAGAGCATCTCTTCATTAGTAGTGGCAAGCTGGTACTGTCTCTGATTGGTCTAGCTTGGTCACATGCCCAGTTGAACCCTTTACTCTGACCAGGGGAATACAAGGGTAGGGTTAGCCCAATCTGTACCTCACCGACAGAGTATGAGCAAGGGGAGATTTTCCCAAAGGCAGCTGGGCCCTATGCCAATGGCCCCTCAGACACCACACTGAATAGCCATATGGATGGGGGTCAGGTCCCAGGTCTATAGACCTGGGTCTGAGGTTCCATGCTGGCCCCCACAGGGAGCTGGGTTCGTGTCCTGGCCAATGAGTGCATCAAGAGGCTGTGCCCTGTGCATTTCCATAGCAATGGCTCAGAGTACATCATGGCCCTCACGACTGGCAAGCGGGAAGGCTATGTCCATTTTGGGACCATCACAGGTAAGGATGGGGGCCTCTGGCAGTCCAAGAGACCCCTCTATAGCCTCATGCCTCCAAGAATTCCAACCTCTGGCCCTCATCCCTCACCAGATGCCTTCAGGAGGTGTCCCAGGCTGGAGGTTGTCCCTGTGAGTAGGGATGGGTTTTGCATTTGTAGGAGTAGGACTTGAGTGTGTTATATATCTTTCATGATCTGTTTGGTTTCAAAGGACAGAAGCCTAATTCAAAAATCATTTAGGCATATTTGTGGACTTGATAAATAAGAAGACCAGAGTCCAACTTCAGGCATGGCCAGATCCAGGGGCCCACTGGTTATATCATTAGGACTCTGTCTATATCTTGGCAAAGTAGTATAGCATAGTAATTATAGCAAAGAGAGAGATTGCTTGAACACACCCAACCCAAGTCACCTGTGGTTTTGGACAGGTGATTTAACCTCTCTTTTTGGTCTCGTTTTCCTCATTTGCAAAATGGGGTTAATGATAATACCAGTACCTGCCTCTTTGGGTTGATATAAAGATTAAGTAAATTGGCATGTGTAAAGGTCTTAGGACAGTGCTAGGGACACAGTGGATGCTCTAAAAGGGTTTTTATTATGAACCCTGAGATTTGGCTTCATTTTCAGGTAGATACTCCTCTCTTGGGGGTTGAAGATGGTCCAGGAAGTTGGGGCTCACATCTCCAACCAGTTTGAGTTACCCCAAAAGAATGAAAGCAGCCTCTTTAGCTCTAGCATGAACCCAGGTTGTACTCTGATTGGCCCATTCTGGGTCAGTGCCCAGACCTGAACAAATTACTGTGACCAGAGAGACCCACAGTGGAAGGCCAGGTGTGAGTGACTGTCAGGTTGGGGGTGAGACCCGTCCCCGGAAGTCCCACAACTAAGGGGGCGGGAGGCACGGGCACCACACCCTCGTCGATTGGAGACCTGGTGTGGTGGGATGCCAGACAGACTGGGAAGGGCCTGAGCATGGACCTGCCTTGCTCCACAGATGGTCATGTGTCCTTCAAGTTGCTGCCCAAGCAGCGGTCTGTGTGCGAAGGGATACAAGGTACCTAGATCCCAGAGGGGTCTGTGGCAGGCAGGTGGGGGGATCAAGAGTGTGGGAGAGCAGGGAAGGGTGGGAGAGGTCATGGGAAAGAACAGTGGTGTCTTGGGAGGGGTGGAGAGTCACAGGGATAGGTTACAAGAGACATGGAGAGGGGTGAGTCCAGGGCTGCTCTGGAACCCCCCCTTTCTGTCCAGTTGCCAACTGCTCCATAACCTGGGCCGTATTCATTGCTGGTGACTACATATTAATGATGCTGGTGGAGATCCAAGACCCCACCACCAGGAAGTATTTCCAGGTGGTCAGCTATGACTTGGGTAATTGGGATATTGTGGGGGGCTGCATGGGAAGGGGCAGGAGCCCAGATTGTGAACTTCGTGCCTGTCTGCGGGATCTGTGCTCAACAGACAGGGGGAGGGAAATATTGTTCACATCACTCCTGGGTAAGAGGTAGTGGTAGAGAATGGGCTTGGTGGGATGGAGAAACAGAAGAAAAAATATGATTGGAACAGAGGGGGAATGGGGAGGGAGGGAGATTGGAGAGGTGGGCAGAAGCCAAATCTGGAAGGACCCTGTGGCTCACAATAAGGAGATTTTTATTTTATTTTATTTTATTTTATTTTATTTTATTTTATTTATTTTATTTTTTTATTTTATTTTATTTTATTTTATTTTATTATTTTATTTTATTTTATTTTATTTTATTTTATTTTATTTTATTTTATTTATTTTACCTGAACAGAGAATAGGGCTGCTATGTACAGTTGTATAGGCTGTGCACTGTACTCTCCAGCCAAGAAGTCAGAGGAGGCAAGTCCTGTGCCCTACCATATTCATATAAGGAAACCCTAAGGGCTAACAGGCCCAAATTCGAGGGTTTTTTGGAGGGCTTGGGGAGCTGGTGACTTGCCCAGTTTCAGGTTTTGAAAGCTCAGAGCCTCAGAAGATTTTGCTGTGTTCTCCCCGGCTGTAGTCAGTGATAACCTGGTCATCGTCTACACCATCCCAGAATTCATCCCTGATGGTAGGAAGGGAAGGCAGAGGGGGTCTCAAAGGTGGATGAGGGCCAGGAGAGGTCCAGATGACCCTTCCCTCACTGCTGTGTCCACTTTGCCTGTGTCCCAGCCAGCTCGAGGCCTGGAGTTTCTGATGATTCTAGGGACAGAATCTTACACCAACTTCCCAATGGTACCCAAGGGCATGTTCTACAACCCGTATAACAACCTGCTGTTCATCTGGGGCAATTTCCTCCTGCAGAGGTATGGGGCTGGGCCTATTCTGCCTCTCCCGGTCCCATCAGGGTGGGGGCCCTTTCTGAAGTCATCAGGTTTTCAGAGCATGCGCAAGTCCAGAAGTTCTCAGGATTGTGATGGGGAAAACACGAGCTGTGGTGGTCAGGGCTGGGATGGGGAAGCTGACGTTTTAAAGTTCTGGGAGGCCTTTCTTAAATGAAACCTGATGTAAGGGCCCAACCTATGTGAAGGGCATTGTCAGGGGAAAAGGTTAGGACACTTTGCACCCCTCAGGAACTTTGGGGCCCCTGAGTCAGCTCCATGGGCTGTTGGCAAAGCGCTCCGTTGGCCAAATATTCCTGTTGACAGGTGGGCAGGTCACCCAGGCTTCCAGGTATATTCTCATAAGGTTAGCAGAAAGCGGAGTAAATGGGTCTTGGGTCCTGTTAGGCCTGGAGTTGAGGGAAGCTGATATCCTGCAGGAGCCTCACCTGGGTGTCCCTGGCTCCGATCTCTGCCCTTTGCAGCTACAACAATGAAAACTTCATCTACCTGGTGGATTTCCCCAAGGAGAAGTCCATTAAGTACCTGGTCAACTCATTCCACGGGGACATGGCTATTGTCACAGAGACTGAGGAGGTGGGCTACTCTGCTCCTCTCGCCAAACCCCAGGGGTCTCCCTTCTTCCCCTGACACAGGTAAAGGGGTTCAGGGGAGGAGATGCCCTCAGGGATTCCAGAGAAGGGCAGCAGAAGCTCCATTTATAGCTGAGAACCCTGCAACTCAAAGAGAAAGTCATTTTTTCCCCCCAGTATTTCAGCAGAGTGAAAGACTCAGAGTCATGATCTGATTTCTAGAGGGGACCCTCTTGCATTCCATCATGTGGTTCACTTCATAAACATTGAGCACTTATTGTATACCTGACCCAGTGCTGGGGGTACAGTGGTGACTGAATCAGCCCTGGACCTTGTCCTCACAGAGTCCCAGTCCAACGACAGTTCAGAGTAGTTGGGGCTGCAGGGAGGAAGATAGTACCTATGGAAGTTCAGAAATGGGGGTGCCGCTGAATTTCCAGTTCAGTCTGGGGGTGTGTATGTGTGTGGGGGTCAGGGAGGGCTTCATAGAGGAGGCCACATGGAGGAGGGGCATCCTCAAGGCTGCAGGGGATCCTCCAGGTTGAGTCTCAGAAGGGACTGAGGTCCAGAGTCAAATGTGTGGTGGGGGTGGGTACCCGTGCAGAGATGGGAAACTGAGGCCAGGGGGATGGTGAGACCCTGGAGGGTGCAAAGAGTGAGGAGAAGATAGGGCTCACCCCTAGGAACCCTGGAGGGGTGTAACTATTAGGAATGCTTCAGTTTCAAGTAATAGTCACTCAAGCCGACTGGAACACTGAAGACATTTATCGTAGCAAGTGGGGCCTGCAAGCAGAGGGGTTCGGGCTCTGGGGAGTAGAAAAGGCATCACACAGAGAAGGTGTGTGAGCTCACCTGGCCCCGGCTAGAAGTGAGCTCTCAAGCCTCACCCTCAAGGAACGGGGGCCATCACGCTGCACAGAGGGAGAGGTGGGGTCAGAGGTCCCCATGGCCCTCACACACACACACATCTGGCTGTTGCACCCCCAGATCTGGTACCTCCTGGAGGGCAGCTACCGGATGTACAAACTGTTCCCGTCCAAAGCCTGGGAGGTGTACGTCAGCCTACAGGTGATGCACCAGTCCTCTTTCTACACCCCCAGTGAGACCATGGTCACCCTCTTCTACGAAGACCGCAAACTGTACCAGGTGCCAGGTGGGGGGTCACGGGGAGCCGTGGGGGAGCCGCAGGGTGGCTAGCTGACAGCAGCTTACCTGGCCCCGCCTCCCCACGGCAGCTGGTGTACCTTATGAACAACAAGCAGGGCCGGCTTGTCAAGAGGCTTGTGCCCGTGGAGCAGCTCCTGATGTACCAGCAGCTCGGCAATCACTACCTCTTGCAGCGGCAGGGGTAGGAAGACCCTGGACCGCAGCAGTAGTCAGGGAGCCCTCCCTGCTGCCCACACAAAGCCCCTATTGCAGGAGGGAGAGCAAGTCATCCCCATTGGCAATCCTCAGGGCTGGGATGGGCCAGCTTAGCGCCCATGGAAGCTCAAAGGAGGGGCCTGACCGAGACTGGGGGAGGCGGGTGCCATCAGGGAGAACTTCAGAGAAGAAGAGGTGCGAGAGCCACTGTGAGCTGAAGGGGGAGGGAGATTTAGCCAGGTGATATGATGGAGAAGGGGTTCCAGGCAGGGGAAGCCACATGTGCAAAGGCCTTGAGGAGGAAAGGAAATTGGGTGTTCAAGACTGAGAGAAGTGTACAGCGCAGACAGAGTGCAAGGTGGACAAGGTGAGCCTGGTGATCATAGGGAGGAACTTGGACTTCATCTTGAGGGTCCTGGGGAGCCATGATGGGACTAAGAGGAGGGACTACATGGCCAGATTTTACTGCGTTCAATAATGATCCTTCTGGTCACCTGCCGAAGAGCCTGGGAGGAGCTGGGAGAGGGGGCGAGGAGAAAAGGGAGGTGGAAGAAGGCTTAAGAAGTTGCGGGGGGGAGGGGCGGGTGTCTAGGATGAGGTCCAGAACTCTGGTCTGAGGGACCCAGGGACGTCCAGGGGCACCAGGGGCTGAGGCCGAGGAGGAAGGTCAGGGCTGGATTAGATTTGGAGATTCAGCAGCGCAGAGGTGGGAGGAAGGCCTGATGAGTAGGGGGGAGGTTCGCGGTGCGCCAGGCGCGGAAGAGTCAGCCGCTGTTCCCTCACTGCCGCGGCCCAGGAACCACCTGACGCTCTCCTTCACCAACTTCTGCCCCTTCACCGTGATGCGCCTGCGGGACCTGCCCAACCCGCAGATATACACGCGCCAGGAGCGCTACCAGGCGCGCCCGCCGCGCGTGCTGGAGCCCTCGGGCTTCCACGACGAGAACTCGCTCGCCGTCTACCAGGGCCTCGTCTACTACCTGCTTTGTCTGCACTCCAAATACCACAAGGTGGGCTCCTGGCGGGGGCCCGGTCTGATCTGAGACCGGACTGAGGAGAAAGCAAGGCCCGCGAAGCTGGAACGGAGCGGAGCTGCCTGGGAGAGTCCGAGGCTAAGGGGTTCTGGGGGAGCCGGCAAGCAGAGCTTTGGAGAGATGGCTTTTGGGAGGGTGGCTGTTGAGCTGGAAGTAGGGCTGGGGGGTGGGGGGCGGGCCAGGGTCTGGTAGCTTTGGCTTTGGGTTAGGGGCTGGGCATGCCACCTGCCTGGGGCCGTCTCCGCACCACCCCCGCCCCCAGCTCACGGTGCCGTTGGTCCCCCCAGCCATACGCGGACCCGGTGCACGACTCCACCTGGCGCTGGTGGAAGAACAAGAAACTGGACCAGGTGCGTGGAGAGGGTTGGGGGTCGGGGGAGAGGCGGCGTCAGGACACCCCTCCCCGTCCCCGCCCCGGGTCCGACTCTGCCCCACATCCCATCCCCCAGGATTACTACTTCTATCTGGCTAGCAACTTGCAGAGCGCGAGTAACGTGTACATTGACATGGCCAGCTACGAGAAGATCTACGACCTCAAGGCCAAGCACGAGCTGCCCGAGCGCATCTTTCTGGACAAGGGCACCAGCTACAGCTTCTCGGTCTTCCTGACGGTCCGCGGGCACTCGTTCCAGTTCCGGCCGGAGCGCGGTCTGTGGGCGAGGCTGGAGTGGAGTCCCCGGGGCGGGGCGAGGGCTGCGGCCTGGGGCTTGTCTGCCAGTCCAGGGGGCGGGGTCTGGGGGCGGGGCACCGCCCCCCGCGCGCGGCCTTGACCCCTCCCTGTGCTTGTAGTGCTCACCACCATAGAGCAGAGCAGCAAAGTGGAACTCGGCGTGGTGCTGGCCGACCCGGGCTGCATCGAGGCGGTGGTGAAGCAGAAGGTCCTCATTAATCGCAACTCGGTGCTTTTCTGGGTGAGATAAAGCGGGGAGGGGGTGTCGAGGTGGGGGCGGAGCTCCCGGGGCAGGGCACTATTAGAACTGCCCACGGGGTCCTCAGGCAGGCCTGTTGACGCCTTCATTTCTGCCCCTAACCCCAGGTTACGCTCAATGATAAAAGGTCTTGCTTTGATCAGGGCCTTAGTGGACATCATCTCATGAAGACCTCCATGTTGGTCAAGGTTCGGTCCAAGACTGGAGGGGAGGGGACACGGGAGGAGGAGAAAGATTGAGCCCGCCGTACCCACCATCATCACCTGCTTCTACCCACAGGTGGTGGGCGCGGTCGGGCACTGCTTCCAGAACACACACCAGGGGCCCCGCATGCAAGTATTGGACCTTGGGGTATCGGGCCCTGTGCCAGGAGGGAGGAGATTGGGTTGAGTCTCAACAGGGCTGATTCTGAGTGCTCCCCCTGGGAATCCCACTAGTGCATTCATAATTTCTTCCTTTTGGCTCATTCACCCACACACCCACCCACCCACTCCTTTCATCCATTCATATTTGCAGAAAGGGCTGCCTTTATGGTTGTGTACGTTGCACCCAGGCTTGTATGTATAATATTTCTCTGCACAGAAGAGTAAGGCATCTGCGACACAGGCCTTTTTGTTCCCAGTTGGCACAAAGGAAGTCATGTGGGCTAACTGGGCCCTTCTTTCACATGTTGCTCTTCATTTGCCTGCTCACATGTGCTTTGTTCACTCCAGTGGGTCCTTAGTTCTTCACTTGCTTACCCATGCAATATCCCTTTTGTACAGAGGCAGACACTGAGGCTCAGAGAGGTGCAGACATCTGCTCAGAGTAACCCAAGGAGCTAATAAGTGGTAAAGGAGGGACTTGACCGAGGTGCCTTGTTCTCACCCACTTCCTTGCCCACTCACCAGCAGACAGTTGCTATCCTCCCTCCTGGCTTGGTATAACCCAGGAAAATAAAAATTAAAAAAAAGGAGAGGGTTGTAATAGCCCCCAACTCATTGTGGGGAGAAGGAGAGCAGGGAGGAGTGGCTGACTCAGCCACTCCAATAAGTATTTCCTGCTAGCCTTGGTGATATGCATTATTTTCCTTCTAATGATAACCCCAGAAGGTCAAAGTTAATACCTCATTTTTGACCCAAAGGATCCATTCTGGGAGTCTAATCTGCAACACCCTGTTACAGCAAAATGTTGGAAACAACCTAAATGTCTGTTAATAGGGGAGTGGTTAAATAAATCATGGTACATCCATGCAATGGAAAACTATGCAGTTGTAAAAAAAAAAGGGGGGGGAAAGAAGATCTCCACATACTGATGTGGAATAGTTTCCAAAGTGCATTTTATTTTGTTTTTAAGATCTATTTATTTATTTAAGAGAGAGGGAGGGAGCATGAGCAGGGGGAAGGGGCAGAGAGAAAAACTCAAGCAGACTCCACACTGAGCGTGGAGCCTGATGCAGGGCTCAATCCCATGACCCTGAGATCAGACCTGAGCTGAAACCGAGAGTCAGATGCCAAACTGACTGTACCACTCAGACACCTCCAAAGTGTATTTTATTCTTAAGAGAAAAAAACTGGGTGCAGAACAGTATGTATAAAACATTAGCATGAAGGAGGCTAATTGAGAACATATATTCATGTTGGCTTTTATTTGCATGAAGAAACTAGGAAGATAAGTGCAAAAGTCCTTATAGTGAATTGCTGCTCTGGGATGGAGGAGAGGCAGGAACAGGAATGGGAATGGGGATGGATGTGAAACTTGTCACAGTGTGTGGGTGGGTGTGTGTGCGTGTGTGCCCAGAGGAAAGTGGAGAGGGATGAGATGAAGTAAGGGGGCAGATCACGTGAGGCCTAGTGGGCCATGGTGCCCCAGGAGCCAAGGAGGGACTCAGGCGTTCACAAGCTGCATGAAGGGGATAGACTGGGGAGAGGGGCAGGAGCAGGGAGACCAGGGAGGAAACAAGGTTGGGCAAGACAAGGCGGGGGGGGGGGGGCGGGCAAAAGAGTTGAGGAGGTTGGGGAGGAGATGGCTCTGTTTTGAAGTCTAGACAACAGGATGTCTAGATGGACTGGCTGTGGGTATAAGAGAGAGAGGTTTCCAGGACAAGGCTTTTAGCCTGAACATGGAGGGATGAGGTGCCATTAGCCAAGATGAGTTGTGGATAGACTGAATCTGAGCTGCCCATTGGACCTCCCAGTGCATGAGTGGCTGATAGGTGTAAAATCTTGGGCCCAGGCCTAGCATGGGGAGTGCTTGCTTAATCTATGGACACCAACCCCTCTCCCCAGTCACTGTGAAGCCCATGCTACAGTCTTTGCATGTCCATGTCCCTTTGAAAATTGGATGAAACCTTTGGACCCTACCCCCGAAATGGGCCAAAGGCTGTTCATTTTGAAGATGATGTCATGGGAATTCCCTAACCTCTGACCCCCATCCTGAGCTTCACTTCCCTCCTATGTCCCAGGTTCCTCCCCAATCTATTATTATTTGAGAATTCAGGCCCAACCTGAGCCCCATGCAGTACACCTACAAGTTGGCTCCCCCATAGGTGTGGGTGATAGTGATGTTGTGTGTCTTTTTCTGGAGGCAGCTGGAGCCAACATCTCAGTTCCAATTCCAGCTCTACCCACTTCAGGTGGGGCTTTGGATAATTAACAAATGGCTTGACCTCTCTGTGCCTCACTTTTGCCATCTCTGTCATGGGGATGTGAATAGTCTCTACCATACAAGGCTTGTGTTTTTGAGGATTCAACTTGAGCTTGAAGCACTTAGAACATCAGCCCATGCCTTGCACACAGTAAGAACGACATAAATAGTTTGCACTTTTTAGAGTATTGTTTCAATGGTAATAATGGTTGTATGGCAGTGGTGAGGGTGAGCCTGGCAGGGAGGGGCGAGGTGTGTGGGAGGAGGGGTGTCTGCAGCGCGCCCCAGTGCAAGGCTTTTCTCCTCCCACTTAGGGCAACTTGATGGTGCCAGTGCTCATCGGCTGCCCCCCAGGCAAGCGGCTGGCCTTCGACATCACCTACACACTAGAGTACAACCGCCTGCAAAACAAACACTACTTCGACTGTGTGCACATTGACCCCGAGATGCCCTGCTTCCTCTTCCGTGATAGTGTGTGTCCGGTCCCCTTGCCCCATTCCTTCACAGTCCTCTGTCCCTACCACCGGGCCCGCCTTCCCTCACTGCCCGTTCACTTCCTCCCTCACCCTCTGCTCTTCCCCTCTGTCTTCTCATCTCTCCTTCCTCCCCTTCTCCGCCCTCCACTTCTCGGGCCAAGCTAATTTTTTCTCCTCCTGGCCTCCCTCCCACCCCACAGTCTTCTACCCTTTCTTCTTGATCCAAGACTTGGTGACGGGAGATTCAGGCAGTTTTCAGGGCAGGTAAAGATGTGGCCAAGCCAGTGACTGACGGGAGTTTGGGGGGTGGGAATGGATAGGGGAGCATGTGCGGAGTGGGTGGTAGAGCTGATGCAGGACTCTGGACCCTGAAGCCAGTGCACATGCACCTCTGCACCCGGCAGCTACGTGCTCAAGGTGGTAGGCGGTGGGCCCACAATGGACACCATCAAGGAATACAGCGAGGAGGAGATTTACCGCTTCAACAGCCCCCTGGACAAGTAATGCCTGCAGGACCCTGCCCAAAATCCACCCTCTTTCCTCTGCAGGCCTCTCCTGCTTCCCAGCCACAGACCTCACCCTTGCTGCAAACACCACTCACCTGGTATCTCAAGGCTCCTAGGATGGCACAAATGCTTGCCCGTCCTTGCTGCCAGGCCCAGCCCTCCTAAGGCTCCCCCTGCCCCTTCCTTCCACTGCTCATACTGCTGGCCTCTCTCTGCACCTGCAGCGGTGGCCCCCCCCCCCGCCCCCCACTGAGGTTACATGGTCCTGCACAGGACTAACAGCCTCATCTGGACCACCAAGAACACAACGACCACCAAGGACTCGGCCTTCAACATCATGACCCATCAGAGTTTGGGCATCGAGTGAGTGCATGGCCTGACTGCGGGTCCCCTTATCCCCCGCCTACCCACAGTCTGTCTGGGCTGTTGTCCCTTCTGCCTCTGGGAGACCTCTTGATCTTCAAGCCAGACTGACTGCCTTCGTGTTCCTCAAATGGGGCTGACTCCTTGTCTGCAGTGCTGGTCTCTCTTGTTCTTTCTTCAGGCCTTAGTTCAGATGCCCCTTCATCCAGGGGACTTTTCTGACCGTCCTAAATGGGACCTGGGTTCCCACGTCCTCCTGTGCTTTGCCTCTTCTTGCCCTCACCTCTCTGTGCCTCCCCCATGCCAACCTCCCCCCTCCCCGGGCTGTCACTGTCTCTTGTGGGTTCTGTCCCCCTTATAGGTCCAGGTCCTGATAGACTAAACCTAGTATTTGTTGACTGAGACAGTGAAGGAATTCATTCATTCATTCATGGTAGGCATTTATTGACATTTGAATGGAGGTCCTGATGAATGAATAAAACAATGGAGGATCAAATTAATGTATAGGGGCTCAATAAATATTTTTGATTCAGTGAAAGGAAGAAAATGATACCATGAGCAAATGAAGGAAGTGAATGAATGAATGGAGCAACCACCTTGTACCTAGTCAGTAGTCAACCTATATTTATTGAATAGATGAATAAAGGAAAGCGTAAAGGAATGGAGATGTGACTTTGGACCTAGTAGGTACTCAAGGTATATTTGTGGGCTGAAGGAATGAAGGCAGCAAGGAATAAATGAGGAGTTGGCACATGATAGATATACACTCCATAATCTAGATGATTGCACTGTAATGGAGGAATTGACAGATGGAGATGTTAAGACAAGAGGACGTGAATGAGTAAACAGCCCGTCACAGGGTAGGCGTGGAGTCAGGCTTATTGGATGAATGAATGAAGGAGTGAATCAGGGAAGAAGGGACGAGATTACATCTAGCTGGTGCTCACCCAGAGTTTGTGGGCTGGAGGGAGAGATCAGAGGTTGGCACATGCTAGGCATGATTTGTAGCACGTTGCCTGAACTTGGGTCCCCAGGTGGCTGTGTCTGGAGAACTCCCCATGCCATGACACCATTCCCCATACCATCTTTGCCCCTGAATTCTTCTTCAAGGTGTTGGTGAGCAACAGGTGAGCCAGGCATGTGGCCCAGGTAGAGTTGGGGGCTTCCTATGGGGTGCCCGACTCCTCCCCCAATGCTGAACCCCATCCCTCCCCCCAGAGGTGTGGACAAGAGCACATACTGTGACCACCAGCTCATCTTCCTGTTGCATATCCATGGGCTCCCACTCAGTGCCAAGCGGGCCCTCTTAATCCTCATGGTGAGTGGCTGCCCAGGAGCTGCCCTGTTAGGAGAATGGGGCTCTCAGGCTGCCCACCCATGTCTGTTGTGTGGCGTCTGCAGGTGTCATCCAGTGTGTTTATCGGCCTGGTGATCCTCTACATCATCTTCTGCCTCCTGTTGCCTGTTATGGTGAAGGCCTGCAACATCCTCCGCTGGAAGATCAACAACATCATCACATCAGAGTCCTACTACACCTACACGTCCTCTTCTAGAGTCTTTAGTGGGACATCTGGGACCAAATCCAGGGGCAGCTCCGGCGTCAGCTCCAGTGTCAGTTCCAAAGTGGCAGAGGGGAACCAGGAGGCCCCTGAGGACACCTCGAAGAAGCAGTCTATTACCTGAGCCTCTTGCCTGCCCCAACCCCCACCAGCGCGCCCCCTCACTTCCTGGGCCATCTTGGAGAAGCAATTATCACTCTTGTCCCAGGCTTTTTTTTGGTTTTGTTTTGCTTCAATATTCACTGCTCCTTCAGACCTAAATCCTCATTTCAGGACCAGCTGTGGGCCCTTGTAAGGGCTCACGTTCAGTTAGTTTGTACCACACAGCCATACAGGTTATTAAAGTCAAAATCCTTCTGTGCTAACTAGTAAATAGCAGCTTCTCTGTGTGCCTAACAACTCCGCCCCTCCCCGGGCTGCCCCCAACCTCCCCTCAGTTCAGCAAGGTCTTCCATGACCCAGGCCCGTCTCTGTGGCCTGCAGTACATTCTGCTTGTTCAGTGCCCAGGTTTAGTACCAATCATTAAATATTTTGAATTTCAATACCTATCTAGTGTCTAGCTTAAGGAGGGGACTCTGGAGAGGTTAGGATTTTTGTTTTAGTTGCAAGTAACAAAAATTTCACTTAAATGGCCTCCATAGAAATGGTAATTTATGGGCTTTAATTGGGCTTCAGGTACAGTTTGATCCAGAAGTCTTCAATGTCTATAGGGGTCTGGCTCCATTTCTCTGTAGCTTTTCCTGACCTGACCTCCTCTGAGTGTGGTCTCTAACCTCAGGCCAGCCCCCTTCACAGTCTGAGGTCCACATATCTTATTGTCCAGAGAAAGAAGGGGCTAGAGTTGAACATTCCCAAGCAAGTCCTAGCGGTGACTCTGGTTGGATGGGGATGGGTCCTGAGCTCACCATTTTACTACTCACAGTGCCAGAGGTTTAAGCGAATTGAGCCCACCCCTGGAGCTGAGGAAGGGAAATGTGCTGTCAAGAAGGGAAAAATCTGAAAGGCAAAAACAAAACAAAACAAAATACCCACCCCACCAACACACAAACACACCTTGTACTCTACCCACTCTCCACCTAATAAGCTCAACACCAGTCCCTCACCAGAGATCTTGGGTGAAGTGACTATGGAGGTTCTGTGACCACTCTCTTCTACTCCCCTACTCTGGGAGTAGAGGCCCAGGGGACACATACTCTGAGGGGACATCAGGGTAGACAGCTGGACCAGCTTGTCCATGATGAGATAGCATAGCTCCAGAGCAGGCAAGGGCGCTGAGGTCATGTTTTGGAGCTTGGAAATTATCAGAAGAGTACTCAGAGCTGAGAGGCCAAAGGACATGGTTAGCTGTAGAAAGGTGCTCCTGAGGAGGACAGCTCAGGACTGGAGGCAGAGATCCCAGGGAGGCAGTAGGCCAGAGATCTGGACAGAAGAGAATGGGGCTAGACCAAAGCCTGCTGTAGGGAGGGGAGGAGGCAGCAGGTGGGAGAGATGCTCAGGAGGCCTAGTGAACAGACCATGGGGCTGGAGGGCCATGAAGGGAATGGGAGCAAAGGAGGCATTTAGGAAAAGGTCCAGGGCTGGGGTGCCTGGATGGGTCAGTTGGTTGAGCATCCAACTCTTGATCTCAGCCCAGGTCTTGATCTCATGGTCATGAGTTTGAACCCTGCATTGGGCTCCATGCTGGGCATGGAGCCTACTTAGAAAAGAAAATGTCCAGGGCTCTGCCGTGAAGACTGAGGGACAAAGAGGCTGTCCCTAAGATGACCAGGAAGAAGGAGAAGGTTTTGGGGACAGACTGAGGCCTTTGGGGTCATGGCAGGTGTGGGAAGTCTGAGAGGCTTCTGGAGGAGGTCATCCAAGAGGCCGCAGGAATGTCAGATCTGGGGCTCAGGAGGGAGGTCAGGGACGGTTGAGCCATATGGCACAATAATCAGCAGTAAAGACTCATCAACAATATTAACTGCAGTGATGCAAATAAGGAAAATGTGATAATATCCTGTTTTGTCCTTAGTCCGTTCAGGCTGCCACCCAGGTGCCCCGATCTATCTTTTCTTTATGTAAATAAAAATGATTATAAGAGCTTGTTATGAACAACTGTACAGCAACAAATGGAATAACCTAGATGAAAAGAAAAATTTCTAAAAAATATAAAAACTATCAAAACTGACTCAAGAAGAAATAGAAAGGGACACCTGGGTGGTTCAGTTGGTTAAACATCTGCCTTCGGCTCAGGTCATGATCCCAGGATCCTGGGATTGAGCCCCACATCAGGCTCCCTGCTCAGCGGGAAGCCTGCTTCTCCCTCTCCCTCTGCCGCTCCCCCTGCTTGTGCTCTCTCTCTCTCTCTCTCTGTGTGTGTCAAATAAATAAATAAAGTCTTTAAAAAAAAAAGAAAAAAAAACAGGTGAAAATCTTGACCTTTGATTTGGCAATGATTTCTTAAGTATGATACTAAAAGTCCACGCAACAAAAGAAAAAGCAGACAAATTGAACCTCATCAAAATTAAAAACTTTTTTTTAAATTTTTATTGTGATGTTAATCACCATACATTACATCATTAGTTCTTGATGTAGTGTTCCATGATTCATTGTTTGTGCATAACACCCAGTGCTCCACGCAGAATATGCCCTCTTTAATACCCATCACCAGACTAACCCATCCCCCCACCCTCCAAAATTAAAAACTTTTCTGAATCAAAGAGAGTAAAAAGACAACCCATAGAAGGGGAGAAAATATTTGTAAATTGTATGTCTGATAAAGACTAATATCTAGGGGCACCTGGGTGGCTCCGTCGTTAAGCATCTGCCTTTGGCTCAGGTCATGATCCCAGGGTCCTGGGATCGAGCCCCGCATTGGGCTCCCTGCTCCGTGGGAAGCCTGCTTCTTCCTCTCCCACTCCCCCTGCTTGTGTTCCCTCTCTTGCTGTGTCTCCCTCTGTCAAATAAATAAATAAAATCTTAAAAAAAAAAAAAAGACTCATATCTAGAGGGATGCCCAGGCGGTTCAGCTGGTTAAGCGTCTCTTGATTTCAGCTCAGGTCATGATCTCAGGTTTGTGAGATTGAGCCCAGTGTCTGGCTCCATGCTCAGTGCAGAGTCGGCTTGAGATTCTCTCTCCCTCTCCCTCTGCCCCTTCCGCTCATGATCTCTTTCTCTCTCAAATAAATAAATATTTTTTAAAAAGATTAATATCTAGAATAAAAAGAACTTCTACAACTCAACAACAAAAATACCACAAACAACCCATTTTAAAAATGAGCAGAAGACTTGAATGGACGTTTCTCTGAAGATATATAAATGGCCAATAGGCACATGAAAAGATATCCAACATCATTAGTTATCAGGGAAATGCATATCAAAACCATAGTGAGAGTTGGGGTACCTGGCTGGCTCAGTGGGTACTCTACCCACTGAGTACTCTACCCACATGTCACTCTTGATTTCGGGGTCACAAGTTCAAGCCCCATGTTGGGTGTGGAGCCTACTTAAAAATAAAATCTTAAGGGGCACCTGGGTGGCGCAGTCAGTTGAGTGTATGACTCTTGGTTTTGGCTCAGGTCATGATCTCAGGGTCATGGGATGGAGCCCCCAGTAGGGCTCTGCACTCAGGGTGGTGTCTGCTTGACACTTTCTGTCCTCTCCCTCTGCCCCTCTCTCACCTCTCTGTCTCTCTCTCTAAAATAAACAAATCTTTAAAATAAAAAAATAAATATTAAAAAAAACCATAGTGATATATCTCATCATACCTATTAGGATGTCTATGTTAATTTAAATAATAACAGATAGAACAAGTGTTGGCAACGATGTGGAGAAATTGGAACACATTATGTTGCTAGTTGGAAAGTAAAATGGTTCAGCTGCTGTGGAAAATAGTTTGGTGGTTCCTCAAAAAGTTAAACATAGAATTACCATATCCAGCAGTTCCATTGCTAGGTTTATTACCCAAAAGAATTGAAAACATATTCTCAACCATGTTTTTTTTTTTTTTTTAAGATTTTATTTATTTATTTGAGAGACACAGCGAGAGAGGGAATAAAAGCAGGCAGTGGGAGAGGGAGAAGCAGGCCTCCTGCCGAACACGGAGCCCGATGTGGGGCTCCATGTGGGGCTCAATCCCAGGATCCTGGGGTCATGACCCCAGCCAAAGGCAGACGCTTGACAACTGAGCCACCCAGGCGCCCCAAACATGTTTGCTTTTTAAAAAATATGTGTAGCACGATTCAGTTTTTGTTTTAAAACTTTTAAAAATAACACTATTAACTAACTGGAATTGAAATAAAAACTTTTAAAAGAACTTTTTAAAGACACAGGTGATTTTACATATCCATTCATTCACTCATTCAACAAATATTCATTGACTGTGTACCACATGCTGGGAATGCATAAATAAAGAACACCGAGGGGCCCCTGGGTGGCTCAGTCGGTTGAGCGGCTGCCTTCGGCCCAGGTCATGATTCCGGGGTCCTGGGATCGAGCCCCGCGTCGGGCTCCCTGCTGGGCGGGGAGCCTGCTTCTCCCTCTCCCTCTACCTGCTGCTCCCCCTGCTTATACTCTCTCACTCTCTAAAAAAAAAAAAAAAAAAAAAAGAACACCGATAAATATCCCTGCTTTTGTGGAGCTGACATTCTAAAGAGGACAGAAGAGTTGGGTTTGAGAAAAGGGAAGATGTTGAATAGGCAGGTGTGATATATACGGAGGAATCAGGAGTGGGGATAAAACAATGGGAATCCTCCGCGTATATGTGGTATTTAAGGCATAAGACTGGATGATTTTTGTAAAGTTTGTGCATATTTTTATAAGCTTGGAGAAAATGTAGAGGATGCACTGAGAGGCTAGAGAGAAAGACCTCGGTTCAAATCTCAGCAGTTGGTCTCTGGGAAGGTTACCCAGCCTTTCAAAGCCTGTTTATAAAATGGAAATAACGGCATAGCTCCACTACCGCCCCCTCTTGGCTTAAGGAAGCTTCTGTGAAGGTGGAACCTCGAAGACAGAAATGTAACGTCACGAACGCGGGAGCTGAAGCCTTGGCAGCCATATTGGTTACGGGAGGCGGGGAAGCGTTGCGATCGCTGCCATTTTCAGTTAGGGCAGGAGGGGACTTCCGGTCACCATCTTGAATGACA